TGATGCTTAGACTAATTCACATATAATCTCGCCACCAAGTTATACCAAGATGATGCTTCAACGGTTCGCGTGACTTATTCTAAGTTGCTATATCATATTCCTCTTAAAAATTAGAAAGATATTTGAACAAATATTGGGAAATTTTGTAATTTAACTCTAGAGAGTTAGTATATAAATTTGAACAATGAAGCAAACCGACAACAAATCTAGAAAACGTGCGAGATACTGATCACGAGTATTTCCAAGTACAAGCCACTTTTTTTTCCCCCTATGCTATGCTATCTTGTTTTGTGTCATGCTTATTTGATTGATCATTCATTTACTTTTTNCTTGTTGTGGAAGTTTTGAAAATTTAGAATCCATCAGAAATCTGGAGTACAAGTATACTCATCTACCTTGATTTTCCATTATATTTTCGAGAGCTTCTTGATGCATTTTATTTTTGGATCTATTTTGTTAACGAACTTTTGAAAACTTCAATTTAGTGTCCCCTCGTGTTAAGGAGTTGGTAGTAGATGCATTACAAATCTTCTCGTGTAAAAGGCGCAGATGCTAATCTATTAATTGCGGCTGTCTTACCTGACTTGGACAACAAGTATATGATAAAGATTTGCAGATTGCTTAACAGCCCTTGTTGAGGTATGGCTCCTTGATATGTGTTAAGATATTTTTCCATGCAAGAATATATGGAATATTCCCATTTTTGTATGTCTTGTGATCGTGAACTACTGGTTTGCGGCTTTTATTTTTATTTGTATTTTACATCTCAAGGTTTTGTCTCACACAGTTCCTTTGTCTTTCAATCTTGGTTCATTTACATACATCATTAATTGCATTTTACTGTTCAAAAAAAAAAAAAATAATTTGCATCAATACTGATTTCTTCTCAAATAATTATAACAATTGCCTAAAATTAGTTTCCAAACATGAAACTTCTACCTCTAAAAATCCGCAACTAATGTCTAGTGATTAAAGAAAAGAACAAACAAAATATATGTTATACAAGATATTATATCCTACATTAATTTACCTTAATTAAAACTTTCATTTCTAAACAATGTCCTCTCTCTCATATCTTCTCTCTGTAATCCTGGTGGAAGTAAGACTTGAGCCGGTCCAAGAGGAGGAGGAGGAGGAGAAGACACTCAAACAGATAAGAGGCTAAATAAATAAAAATGACTCACCCATTCTCTTCAGGTAGTTTCTCTGTCTATCAAAACGGCATTGTCGCTCGTGGTCCACATCGTACTGGAGTGTAGCTCCGTGTATTCTTACCGCATTACACTAGAGAAAAACACGATCTCGCATTTGTATCGAGCATTGGATAACACTTCATTAACAGAGTCCTGATACAAATTTCTTTCTCCTTCGTTGAGATTTTTGCAGCTAACAACACATGGATTTGCTGCGAATTTCAACGAAAGAGAAAGAAATACGAAATTTGTATATGGATTTTGTTAATGAGGTGTTTTTTAATGCTGGATATAAGTGTGAGGTCGTGTTTTTCGATGGTTTGTACAACGCATTAAGAAAACATGGAGCTACATGCTTCTTCTTCTTCTTCTTCTTCTTCTTCTTCAATTTAATTTGAACTTTTCTTAGTTTATTTATTTATTTTTTTTGAGTGAAGAGATGTGAGACTCAATTTAATTTGAACTTTTCTTAGTTTATTTATTTATTTTTTTTAAGTGAAGAGATGTGAGACTCTGGTATCTTAAAGGTATAAATTTGACTTTTAATTCAATTTAATTTGAACTTTTGTTTATTTATTTATTTACTTATTTATTTATTTTTTTTAGTGAAAAGATGTTTGGTCGCTGAAGAAAATGAAAATCTGCTTGTTGGTGACAGAGACAATATAGAATATGAAAATGTTTTATATATGGAATATTGCTGGTTGGTTTAATGGAAGAATGGAAAACTGATATGATCCAAAACTACTAATTGATACTTGTTAAGTATCTAGTGTTTTGTGTTTGGTTTGGTTGAACATGAATTAATTCTGAATTATGTACTTTATTAGTGTTTTATTTTTTATTTTTTTTTTGGTTCTGAATGGTTCCATATTGTTATGTATTTTTTTTTCGTTTGAATTCAATTTGGCCGAAATTTTCAAATGTAGACATCAAATTATATTTGAAAGAAAATTAGTTTTCTAAGTCATTAGATCATTTGGAGCGAATAAGAAAATATGAGTGCGGTGTGGGTAGGGGCACGGTAGCACTAGCCCAACCAGTTAAGGATACACATTTTTTTTATTTAATTCATTAACATTTTTAGGTTAAAGTACATAACTATTGAGCTAATAAAAAAGAATTCTATTAAAGTTAGAGTATACATTGAATTCGAAAAGTACCAGTTTTCATTTCAAATGGTGTAAAACCACCAAATTAAACAGAAAAAAATTCAAAATTTAAAATTTATGTCTTTTTATTTTTTCCTCTCTTCTTTTCTTTCTTTCTTTTCTTCTTCCCAACGATGGCAACACTTTTCTTTTCTTCTTCCTCAACTATGGCGACACTTTTCAACTTTCACGAAAAAGAAAACAAGAATAGATGCAATGTCGAAATCTCGCCATGGCAAAATCGGAGGGGATCGAAATCCACGCTGCGGAGAGAGGTCGAAAAGCCGCTGGATCTACGTCGACAGACCTAGACAAATTAGATTCTAGTCGGCATCATAGAGAGCGGGGTGCCTACAGAGAGGAGGCTCGCACAGAGAAATTGGGAGAAAATGAGAGGGTTTACTGTTTCGAGGAAAAGGGGAACTTTTGTGCAATGTTATGGACTATTTTGACATTTAACAATATATTTGTTGTGCAAAATTTTATCCATACCCCCTGAGGTAGGATCTAGTTGTCGGGCATATGTAAGATAAAGCTGAATTCGATCACGGGCCGAGGACAATCTTTCGTGACGAAATCTGGGCTAACAAATGTAAGTTTAAGTTAAGATAAGGAAACAAATCCTGTCTTGTCCAGACTGACAAGTGAATAGTAAGATTACAAATCCACCTCGAGAGTTTCGTGAGGCAAGGACAATCTTTCGTCCCGAAATCTGAGCTAACAAATGTAAGTTAAAGTCAATTAGGGAACGAATCCTGTCATGTCCAGACTAACAAGTGAGCAGTAAGATTACAAATCTATCCGGAGACCAACAAGTGAACATGTCCATACTTGTTAGTGAACAATAAAATTACAAATATATCTTGAGAGTTTTGCGAGTGCATGTATGATGTATCATGTGTCATGTCAAGTTATGCTCCATATGTGGATTTCTGTCCATTAACATTTAGAAGTATAGAACAATTAACTAAATTAAATTACAAATATACGTTAAAAATTAGTAATTTTTGTTTTTATTATTATTATTTTGTCATTTTCGTACATAATATGTTAAATTAATCATTTGGAACATCAACTTGACTTCCATAATTGTAACAATGACGCCGCCCAAGGTCCCACAAACTATAGGGTGCTCCTGCTATTGCATCCCATACTACTTGTAACTATAATGAGATCGGATCAAGACTCGTAAAAACTTGGCTTAAAAACGCAGTAACGAGATATATAATATCTCTTTCCAACAAAACGAGAGAAACTTTTTAATCACAGAAATGTGAAAACACAAAAACTACTATCCCAAAAACGAAAACTCAATCAAAATGGAAGTAATCGGTGAAATAATTTGTCCTCCATTCATTCGCTGATTGACACCAAAATTGATTGTAATCAAGCCATGTTGCCGAAAATAAAATGGTCGGAATGAGATACCATAGATTGAAAGCAAAAGTGAAAGATTCGTTTGGCGAGGCAATAAATTATCCCGAAGCTCGCTGACGGCTTGAAATTTTGAAACTATTTTCCTTTTTAGTTGGGTATGTTTATTTATAAGTATATTTGATGTTATTTAATGGTATCTCTTACTTTTCAGATTTGTTTTTTTTGTTTTTTTTTCTGAAAAATGAAAACAAAAAAAAAAGAAGAAAAAATACCTTATAATGGAAGGAAATAAACCTAAACTAAACCTCCCAACAACCGTGTAAATTCTGTGGTAGTGTAAGTTGTTATTTTTTATATTTTTTTTCATGTTTATCAATTTGTAGTGTATTCAACTATTCATGCTTTAATGGAAGAAAATAAACCTAAACTAAACCTCCCAACAACAGTGTAAATTCTGTGGCTTTATTATGTCTGAATTGAGGTATTTTCAATATTTATATTTTCCATAACAAAAGTATTTTATTTATTAAACAAACCAAAAATATTGTGTTTTGTTTAATATTTTATTTTTCAAAGATATTTAGAACTCAGATCAATAGATAAACAATGAATAAATTGCCATTAGTAAGATAAACCTGA